GTTTAACTCAAAATTAAAACAGTCCTAAGACCGGCTACTAACTTACCTTGATCACAGCGCTTCGCGACAGGAAATGCTAAGACTAACCACGCGCAGGCGCAAGAGGTAAAACCCTCCCTCACGACTGCCGTCGGAGTGCGCAGGCGTCGACTCGAGAGGAGAGGGGGGGGCGGAGACTTCGTTGCACCTACGCGTTGATTGGGTAATACTAAAATATTCTGGTCCAATCAGAGACTGGAACTCTTTCAGGAGGCGGGTGACGTCCGGAGACCAAGCCACGAGAAATTACACTGTTTTTTAAATAGGTTTTATTTACTATTTTAGAAGACCTGAAAGATGAAATCCAAGTAAATTTCAATACAGACAGTAGACAGATTAATTTAATAATGAGCTTAAATGATCTAATCAGAGACATCAAGCTGTTTAGGGCTTTTTATCTATTATTGAGTTTAGAAAAAAATATGTTTTGATGAAAACATGAGATAACCGTGTCTGTGGGAGATATTTAAGAACAGTACTAGAACAGGGCAGACTTAAGGGGTTTACAGAACTTGTTACATTGCATAATACATGCTAGCAGAGATGTGTATTTTCATACTTCTAAAGCTATTTTCCCATTTAACATTTTGAGAGAGTTTGTCTAAGACCCTAATTCATCGGGAAACACTGCGGTGAACCCCTCCCGTTTGTATTCGCGGATATAGTGCTTCACTAAACAATCCACTAACACGTTTCCCATGAGTAAAACACCATCGTTAAAACATCGCTTTAAAGTCGCGTCCCGGTGAAAGACTCTTTCAGCTGCAGAGCCACGTGATTCACAGGGGCTGCTGCATTGTGATCAGTCGGGCGGTTTGTGTGTGTGTGTGGGGAAGCACACGGTGCAGAGCATGCGAACTCCACACAGAATGTGCCCGCTGTGCACCGGGGCGCCCCCGCTTTCAGGACCGGCGGAGCACACGAGTGGAAGAGAACGGCGAGGGTCTCCAGCCCTCAGCAACAGGCGACGTTAGGGCGACCTGTAGGTCTACCGGCGCCCCGGTCCCCAGAGCCAGGCGAGACAGCGGCGCCAAGCCCAGGAGGCGGAGCTGCCCGGTTTCCCCGGAGAGAAACGTCACCCGGGGGCTATATATACGGGTCCGCCTGGTCCCGAGCAGCGGCGGTGCGGTGGCACAGAGCCGAGGCGGAGACGGCTGTGTTAGAAAACTCGCTCCGGTCAAACTCATCTACACCTGACCAAGAAGAAGCAGCTCTTCTGTCTCAAGAAACTTAAACCTTCTCACGAGCAGATGGGTTCTGCGGTTTGGCGACGTTTACACTGTTGTGATTTGATGTCCGTTTTGGAGTTACGGTCATGATCAGAGACGGCAGGAGACCGGGCGCCCTCTCCTCCTCTGAGTTCTTCCGAGCAAACCGTTTTTTTTCTGTCCTTGAAGACCCAGTCCTCCCTGTGAAATGATGCCGGTCCTGACGCCCTTGAAAATCCGCCAAACGTCTTTGGTCGTCTTGCACTTCAATGTCCTCGCGTCGCGGCCGCCGGCCGGTCGGGACTCCCCGACCCGGGAGAGGAAGAGACGCGTCTCGCTGCGGGACATCGTGGTGACCCCGGACCGCATCCCCCAGTTCACCATTCCGCCTCTGGGGGTATCCAGCTCCCGGGCGGCACGGAAGCTGTCCGCCTGCTCCGTCACGGGTGGCGGGGCCTGGCGGGACATCGGCAGCCCCCGCCGGCACAGCCTGAGCGGGGTCCCTTCCGAGCCCGGCTCGCAGCCCCACCGCCGCCGGCCGGCGCCGCCGTCTCCCCTCGGCCCCGGAGGCGAGCCCGACCTGTCCGCGGACCCGGTGACCCGCGCAGCCATGTCGCTCCCCCACCTCCCCAAAATCACCACCCCCTACGGGTTCCTCGCCCTGGGCGAGAGCCCGTGTATCCACCGGAACGAGTCGCTCTTCTTCGACGACGCGTCGCTCGGTCTCCGGCGGGGGAGCGCCTCTCCGTCCCCCCTCCCCCGACGCCTGTCCTCGCCCCTCGCCGAGAGCCGCCGGCGGCCTCCCTGCCGCGACACCGGGGCTCGGACCGGCCCCGGGCGCCCTGCGCCTCCGCCCTCGGCGTGCCCGGTCTCCGCCGAGCCCCGGGAGCAGGGCGCGGAGACGGGGGAGAAGACCAGGCTCCAGCGCCTGCTGAAGAAGCGCCTGGCCGACCTGCGCCGGCTCCGGCCGGGCTCCTGCTTCCTGAAGGCGCGCCGGGAGCGGCTGTCTCCCCATCCCGCAGGGAGCGGCGCTCCGGGCGGACTGAGGTCCCAGCGGACTCGCAAGACCTGACGCCTGAACTGACCGAGCCACTCGCTGCATGAGACCGTTGTCTCGAATTGGCGGTCCGGGCGTGTGAGAATATTCATGCTGCCATAGGGAATGTATAAAAAATATATATAATAAAGGATGTGATTTGCGTAACACGCCCTTTTCACACCGATCCGTGAGAGGCAGCCGTGGTCGGTCTCAGTGGGTCTGTCTGTGGTCCTATACAGCCCAGGCTTCCTAAGGTTGGGTTAAAATGTGCCAGTTCCTGGGGTGTCTTTTGTTTAACGTTTTATAAATGCTTTCAGCTCTTGGGGAGGATATTTCTATTCTGGATCAGAATAAGTATTTTATTACCTCATTAAGAGACGACCATGCGCCTCTCACCCTGGGCCTCGGAGATCGGAAGAAAAACTCCATTACCCAGAAGCCCGTGCAGGGTCGCCGCGTTCCCACCGCAAGTGGGGGCTGCTCCTGTAGGGCTCCTAGCACCTGGGTCCGAATCCCTTTTTGTGAGGAATTGCTGTGTTTGCATCATTTCACTACAGCACGCAATAAATGAATACCATTATTTTTCCTTATGCATTGTCTGTTTTTGACCTGTTTTGGTGTTGAGCTGGGGAGCGGGTGTTGGAATGAGAAGGAGGTGTTCAGTGTGCTCAGTAAGTGTGAATGGTAGTGCTAGGAGATGTTTCCATGTGTTCAGTGTGCTCAGTGAGTGTGAATGGCAGTGCTAGGAGATGTATCCATGTGTTCAGTGTGCTCAGTGAGTGTGAGTGGCAGTGCTAGGAGATGTATCCATGTCTAAATCCACAAAGCAAATATATATTCATCCAGAGCTACAG